CAGATGGTCCTCAGAGCACAGGTTGGATGGGGCCTCAGGAGGTCTTTAGTCCAAACCATGGTTGGACTTGATATCTTGAAGGACTTTTCCAACCATAAGGATTGTGTGATTCCTGCTCAATGCAGGTGAGCGGTGGGGTCAGAACAGGTACATGTGCTGGCTTTACTCTGTGCTAAACAGGGACCATCCTGTCCCTAGGACGGGACACTGCCAGCAGCACATATGCTGGGAGCACCTCCAAAGTCTGTGGAGTGGACAACAGATGGACAATTAGCCACGGAGCTGGGCAAGGAACCAAGAAACTCTGCACTGCTTCCCGGGAGATGCCAGAAACGTGGCCAAGCGGCAGTGTAAGAAGAGCGAAATCTCTCGGGGAATCCGTCTGGGACTCGCGGTAGCACAAGGAGCAAGATTTGGAGCCAGCCTTGGCAGAACCTGAAGCTGCGAGTGTGGCATTTGAAAAGCTGATGCGCAAAGCTCAGCTCCAAAGACTGCAGCCACCAGTGGGRGTAATTCCACTACAAGACCGACTTTGAAAGGACCCAAAGCAAACCCTCTGCGAGCGCAAGGTCAGCAGAGCTTGGGGTGACCAAGGATGGGGGATGCAGCGTTGGAAAAGTCTCGGCATCCTTTGCACGGCCAGGGGGGCACAATGAACATCCACTCTGGATCACCAGGTTTAGGAGGGCACCAGATAAAGTGAAACGTGTCTCTATCCAGGTGTGAGCTCCTGGGAACGCCCAAGATGAACCACCATGGGCTCCTGGTGAGCACTGTGGACCCGGTTCTGCTGCTCCGGCTCCGAGTTGCTGCAGGAGGGGTCTGCAAGTCTCGTGACAACCCAAAACCACAGATTGTGCTCGGGTTTGCACCCACGTGAAGCCCTGCAGAGCTGCCACGACGTACGCAGCAGCTCCCTTGTCTTGTCCCATTCAGCTGCACCTGCAAGAGTCGCTGCTGAGCTCGGCCTGAAGTTACAGCCAACAGTTAATCCGGAAGCAAAGCGGATCAGCAAGACAGCTGCAAGTGTAGTCRGGATCAGAAATCAAGAAACCTGCTTGGGAAACACCTAAAAAGCAATAAAGACATTTGGACTGCGTAGCTTTCCTTTAACCTTTGAGGAGCTTGACAAAATCAGCAGAGTGTGTGTGTGTATGTGTATTTGCTGGAAAGAGTTTCTGTATAATCACAAACTCTGTGATTAGTATAGCTCTTGGCGCTAGAATATTTGAGAAAAAAAAAACACATTTAAAATATGCTTGGTCTTTCTCAATTCTTACTGCGACTCTCTGGCTTTGTTTGCCTTGCTTAGGAAAACCAGCTGGTATTAATTGTGCTTCAAACACCACCATCATAAACAGTAGCCAGATATGAGAAAATGAGGCCTAATAACAGGAATCCACTCAATTGTTGAAAAAAAAAAAATAACAATTACTGCTCAGTGCTCAGAAAAGCAGTGGAGCCAGCGCAACCAAAACAAAAGGCAGGAAGGAGGCTTGTATATGGAGAACACGATAAAAATAAACTAAAACCACAGAAGGAGAAACATAAATGTAGGTTACTTAACAGTAATCAGAATCCTCTAAACATATTGTCTCCTCGGAGCTACGCTCTGGAAGCTGTGTGCGTGGCGCCCGTTCAGAGCCGTCAGCCCCGCGCTCGGAGGAGCCAAGATGCCCATGGGCAGCATCCTGCATCCCGCATCCCACATCCCTCATCCCGCATCCTGCATCCCGCATCCTTTATCCCGCATCCTGCATCCCGCATCCTGTAACCTGCATCCCGCATCCTGCATCCCGCATCCTTCATCCCGCATCCTGCATCCTTCATCCTGCATCCTTCATCCCGCATCCCGCATCCTGCATCCCGCATCCTGCATCCTTCATCCTTCATCCTGCATCCCGCATCCTGCATCCTTCATCCCGCACCCGACATCCTGCATCCCGCATCCTGCATCTCGCATCCCATATCTCACCCGGGAATGTGCTCTGCAGGGACCGGGCACATGCAAAAGGATGCAGAAGAACATCTCATAAATCCCTTCCACCTCTCTTAGCCACAGCCTGCTCTTAATATCACTTCTCCTGTCTTTCCTAGCTCCATTTTTTCTGTGGTTGTTTCACCTCAGGACCAGGAGGGAGGTGAAATAAAGTTCTGGGCTTGGCAGAGCTTTCCTTGCCAAAAGTTGAACTGTCCAAGCATCCCTTGGAAATAAAACCCATCAAAACTGCTAACAAAAAGCCAGGACCACCTACTAATCAAAGCGATAGGTTCAACACATACATAAAGCACAAGAGGCTTTGATCTCATAGATGGAGATGTTTAGAAGAGAAAGCAGCCCGAAAAGGAAAGCGTTACTTCTCTGTGCTGGAAAATCTTTCTCTGCAAAATGAAAAAGAAAAAGAAGGATATTTGCAAAGACTTGCTAGGACTTTCAGCTTAACTGCAAGAAGCCTAAAGCCCAAAGCTGCTCCTGGGGAGGTGTGAGGAAGCGCCTCGCGTGCCTCAGCCTCGAGGGGAAGGCAGGGAGGGTTAAGACAACTGGAAGCACCAGCGAGCGGATCGGCCTCTCCGTGCGCCCTCCCTGCGCCACTTGCCAACTGCAAACGGGGAAGGGGCTCACTTTAATTAACAGCAGCTCTCTGCRGACTCCTGCAGGTCCTGGCCCTTGTTTTCAGGTCATCTGGTCCTAATGGGCTCACACTGGGAGGTGGTTTGTTGCTAACTGACAGCAGAGATCAGTTAATGAGGGCTGAGGCTTTAGAAGCCAGGCTGGCCAAACTGAGGGCTATTTCTAAATGATTTGCCATCATCATCGTTAGGTAAAAAAAACGCTGGAGGAGATGCTGGTTATTAATCAAGATATTTGCCACCTAAAACGAAAGAAACAGTCCCTGCCCTGCAGGATTGGCTCCAGGTTTCTCCACGCAGGGAATTTCACATGCAATGAGCTGCACCAGGGCTCTGCAGGGTCACACACCCTTTGTAGGGTGGCTTGGGGCATGGCCAGCAAGCAGAGCCCCTTGGGAACACTGAGCCTTCCTTGGGACACCCGAGTGCAAGCTCAGTTTGGTGTTAGCACCACAGCATGGGCTCAGCAGCCAGGCTGCTGAAGGAAAACACCTTTTCCTTAGCACAAATTTGGAAACACTGGAATTAGGGAATGCTGTGGCATCATGTTTCTTCGTGGTGCTTCTTCATGGTTTCTTCATGTCCCCAGGATGGACAGCTGAGGTGTGCAAGATGCTCAAGAGTTGTTGCTTCTGCCTGACGCTCACTTGCAAATTATGTGGTCAGATAAATCCCAGGATCATAGAGTTTGGGGCTTGATTCAAAGTCAACTGCTATGTCCTCTACATCAGTATCAGAAATCCAGAAATCAAACCATAAACCCACAGAGTCATAGACCACCACAGGATGAAGAGCTGACCGACCAGCCAAAATGACCAGCCATGCTGTGGTGACAGTCACCTCATAGACAGCAAGAATTTCATTAATCTGCCAGACTTGGTGCTCAAGATGCAGGACAAGTGGGTTTTTTTTGCAGAGAACCAGTGTTTCTCATGCAGCCACTGCTGCTTATGTGAAACCCTTCTGGCACCAGCACTTCTGCAGGCAGCCTAGGAGGAACCAGAGATTTGAAACCCGTGTCACCTGTCCCAGCGTGGCCAATTCTTTTGCAGTCCCAGTGGTTTCCTTACCAAAGCCTGCCAGCGTCTCAGGGTGACAAAACTCTGCCAACATCAGCTCCTCTATCTGCCCCTGTGGGCAAAACGGAGAGGAGCATTAATGCCAGCCCCACGGAGGCAGCGACTGTCCCTTGGCTGGACCCGTGCCCTAGGGGTGGAGCACAGGCCACGAGCAGCAGCAGGGACACGCCAGGTGGGAACACGTTGCTTGGCTGAATTCACAAAATGGGGAAAAATCCGCACTGGAAAAGGGAGTCAAGTTTTCCCATGGTGCATGAAGAACCCATGCAGCAACACGATGCTGCTCAACTCCCAGCCAGCAGCTCCCGTCTCCGTAATCCTGCTAGCAATCCCAAATCTGCTTCCAATGTTTCCCTTGGAAAGGTATCTAAACAAGCCCCTGATGACTTTTCTCCAGGGTGACTGAGGGAACCTGGCTGTGAGCCGTGTGCTTCCCAGAAGCAGAGCAGGGGGCTCAGTGGAGATCTCTCCCCACGGCACCGTCTGTTTGCAGAAGAAGGTCTGGAAAAGGATGTTGGTGGTTTGAGACAGAGGGAGAAGTTTTGCTCAAAGTCAAAACTGCTTTGGGACCTTTAAAGTTCCAGGAGGAAAAATACAGTCATACAGAAAAGCCATCAGGAAAGGTAACTCACTTAAGTTGTATCTACCTCCCTGGGAATTAGCTGTCAAAGAAAAGCACTTGTGCTGCTGGGGAGCCTGATGGTAACTCCACAAATCTCAATTTCAGTGATTTTAGCTTTTAAGGGCTCCATTACTACAGAGGACATCAACTACAACTTGAATATTGATTCCTGCTTGCACGATGCCCACAGGTAGAAGATTTCAGCTGGAGCATTTCCATTCATTTAGGTGTAGGTGTTGACCCACCAGGGGAGCATTTCCAAAAGCCCAAGTCCATCCAGCCCATCAGCTGTCACACGGGCACTAGGTGCAGCCTCAAGGTCACTCCGTTGGGCACTAACTTGGACTAGGCTAATCCAAAGGAAGTTAATGCAAGTGCAGATAATTAATTGCACAGAAATGGGCAATGCAAGCGAGTTTGCTCAGCAGGAAAGACAGACTCAAGAGTTCCCGTGCATGGAGCCAAGCAGTGCACAGTGCAGGACACGTAAGCAAAGTTGGGGCATGCATGGCCAGAGACACCTCCCAGCTAAGCTGCTTTCCCGTCATGTAGACAGATTTATGTCAATTAAAATAAACATGCTTGGCAAATCAAATAAGTATCTCAAAAGCACTAGAGTACTACTGCAAGGAAGCAGTTAGTAGTGAAATATATAAAGCGTTACCCACTGCAATTGAGACAGCACTTATCACAGCTCCCAAGTATCCCTGGATGAACTTCGATGTCGGGGAAGGCTTTGAAAACAAAAACAACATATTTTCAACAAATATACTTTTGGTTTTTAAAATACAACTGTTTTTTTTCTGTTCTTTGTTTTTGATTTTTCTTTTTAAACTAGAGACAGGTTTAATTTTGTCATGTTGTTCCGTGACACATGGGCTGTCATTTAGTAGTGGCAAAACCAAGGAAAATTGTAGCTTCATGAACAAGGTTAAATGTAATGGAAAATTAATTGGCACCAGAAAATTATAATGTTCTCAGCTTAAAGAAGGTATCTGAATGTGATTTAGCAAACAATAAAAATACTAGCACCCTTATACACTAGTGATGAACCCCAAACTCTCCAAGTTAAATACGTGTCTTTGAAAAGTTATCCTGATGAGATGGATGGTTTCCARTTCAGCTTCCTTTCATGAGCTTCCAGCAGCCCAAGAAGGAATGAAAACCACAAAAGTGATGAGCAGAAGAGAGCTGGAACAGCACCACTTCGCTTCTGTGGCAACCTCTGCAGGAGTATTGCTGGTACAAAGTCCTTAGAAGAGGCAAGCGTGATCAYGGAGCCTTCTGCTGCTACATGCAAATCCAAATACCTACCTTTTTGCTCATTCCCATCTCAAATTAAGCCRTTTCATATTAGTTAAAATGATGTAATGGTTTAGCTCAGAGAGAACTTATTGCTGAGCCAGCATTACTTATGCACCTTGGGTGATTTGAAGATCTGAAAGAAAAACTAGGACATTTATCTAACTTGATGGGTATTAAGCATAAAACAGCAGAGTTTTGTAATCCAGAAATCTCATGTTTACATGCTCTTGGATGCAGCAATACACATAATACTTTTTATAGAGAGTTTTCTACCTAAGTTCTGACCAGCAATACTCTGCAGGGCAGCTCGTAATCTGTGCCAAGGAGTTTCAGTGACTGGTGCCACTAGTGTCTAGTGACAAGCACATCTATGGACTGGAATACAAGCAAAACGCTCATGTCATTTCCAGCCTAAGTTTAAATTCAAATCCTATATAGGAGAACGGCCAATCTATAAATTCATCGCAGTGCCTACTCCATAGTTTCTATTAACAGCAAAGAGACAGGATTTATGTTTCTGTGTCAAAACAGATCAGCCTTGCTGCAGGCTCTGCATATGTTGGGTCTCCTCACCTTTGTCGCGTTTCGGTTTGCATAGTTGACGCACGCATTGTGGCTCTGATTCAACCACTAAAAAGGAAACAAAAAGAGGGAGACATGAACACAACTTTGCAAGAATCAATCTGTAAACACACGAGCGGCACAGGAAAAGTCGTCTCCCTCCATACCTGCTCACCACTTGTTACTTCTTTTCTAAGTGCATGCAATAGATCTGCTCTAATGCACTCGCGCTAAATTTGTATTAAGCACATGCACAACTGCAAGCACAGGTACATGGAAATAAAGGACTGGCTCTGAACATAAACTTACTTCAAAATTATGAGCAAAAGCAATCTAAACACTGCAGCTTTATGTAAAACCTTTTTTTCTTTTATTAATGCAGTGCCAATGGAGTCTGTGGTTGGTGGCGACTTCAATATTATACACTGCTCCCGTAAATCCTTATAAACAGCTGTAATACATTACAGCAAGTCCAGCAGCCTGATTTCCTGTCCTTTATTAAGCTCCATGGKTCTCAAACAATGGGTCATAGGATGCATCAATTGAGCAAATGCAGCATTTTAGGGACACAGATGACACTACGTTGGTATTTCTGTCCCTAACTTCTCRGAGAAAGGTTTAGGACAGAAGTATTTCAGCAGCTAGGGAAGAGTAGCACCACATTCCCGAAGGGCTTTATCCACAGCAGCTACTAGGAACAAGAAGAAAACAACCGTTTCCACTCCATAAACACGATATTTTCACTTTAGACTATTGATAGAACTTGATTCCTTGTCAGCAGTGGTTAAAACTGAGAGGTGAGGGGGAAATGAGAAGTGGGGAAAGAGAACAGTCATGATGTGGAGYGAAGCAAGGCACTACAGCATGGGGAGTGCCTAGTCACTGCAAAGCCAAAGCCCAGGAAGATGTTCTCCCTGCCAATCACAATTTGCTATCAAGGAATATCTCACCTAGCAAAATATCTTTTGTTTGTTTTCTTTAAATTGAAAAAAAAAAAAAAAAGAATTCAGCTTGCCAACAAATGCTGGAAATCTGTCTCAATTTACTAGAGGGTTTTTAGAAAAYTCCTCTTTCTAAAAACTTCCACTGAAGAATCCCAAAGAGCCAAGATGCTTCTGCCCCACACTGGACCACAAGGCAGGTAGAAATAGGGTTTCCCTGTTGAACATAGACCCATTTCCGAGCAGTCACAGGACACGTCCACGTGAGCAGGTCAAGAGGCCACCTTCAAAGCGTATCTCCTCCCTGTCCCCACATATCCTCCCATGCTYTGCTTCAAATAAACCAGCATCTCGACACACATGCCTTGTGTTCCCTTAGAATCATTATGGTTGAAAAAGACCTTCAAGATCATGCAGCCCCTTCTGACCACTCCAAGCTGGGCATGCACCTAAGACACTTCAACAACCGCCAAGGGACTCGGGTCCATCAGACCAGGCTAGAGCTATGTGAAATGCATCTGTCATGGGCATCAGGTCCTCTGTAAGGTGCTATAGGAGGCTCCTATAGACTGCTGTTAATGCAGTCACATGCATAGCCCCGAAATCCTGCCCTGCTTATCCAGATGAATCTTCTTTTCAGAGAGAGATGTAGACATTTGTTTGGATATTCTTCCTGCCCTAAGTGATCTCCACATTGGAAATATCCTCACTGCCCATCCTTGACCTCTGCTGTCCTCCTGGCTGGAGGCCTGACACCTGCTGAGCCTTGGGGTGATGTCTCTGCATGCTCCAACTCTTCCCATTCGCCCTTTTTCAGACAACAGTGGCCAACGTCCATTGTCCTGCGGGCATGAGGGACTAGCAGAGGGTGGCTGCTTTGGTCAGCAAGAGCAGGGCTCAAAATGCAGTCATTGCCCTGATGACTCCTTACCTTGGGCCTATACTTGACATGCCCTGGGGTGCCCAGGGTGCTGGGGTTAAAGCACAGCAGTCTAGGGCTGCTCTTCTCCAGCTGCTGCCCAGAACTTGGGAAATGAGCTTGGGAAGGGAAAAGAGGGGAAAGAATCAGGAAAGGAGGGGGAAAGGACAGGGAAAATGAGAGTCAGAATGATGATGGTGAGGGAGGACAGAAGAAAAATAGAAGTAGGAACGCTGAAGGGGAGGTATGAATGTTCTTTGTCTGGAAAGCTTCACGTTCGTCGTATTTTTGGAGTGAGAAGGAATAAGAAATTAGGGTGGGACCTCTAAAATAGCTCTCCAATTTGGGGCTCTCCAGTTTGATGATAGATCCCGCAGGTTATGACCTGGAAAAGCTTGAGAACCATTCACTGAACTGCAGCTTCTCCACGGGTCTCTGGTTCCTGGACTTTCCCGCTACAAGCCCTCACTCTAGCAGGATCGTTTTGCATCTGATCATCTCTGAAGAGCCATAAACAAAATCTGACAGTTTGTCAAGCAGTTCGATTCCTACGTATGCCTTGCCAAGTTCTACCTAGCACATCTAACTCCCAGTGAAACCAACGCTGCGCTAAAATTGGCTTGGAACTTGAAGTCTGTGTATTTTGTTAATTAATGTCTCCTTGAAGTTCATTTTTGATTTTGTGTTTTAAATATTCTTTCCAGTTCCAAAAGGATTATTCCACCCTCCTCACGCTGAAAGGTTCCTCTGACTACATTTAGACTCGCTACGCAGCAACGATGGGAATATGTTCTCCTAACTTGAGGCACCTACACCTAGTCCAAACTAGTTGCTTAGGTTGGCTCACCCTTTAATCACTTGAGGGTGACTCCCCTTTCCATCTTAGAAGTATTAAAAAAAAAAAAAAGTGAGGTAAATGGTCCTTTAAAACTAGGAATGTTTCTGGGCATCTCCAGCCAGAGTCCTATTCCCAGCACATTGCCATGTGGCCACAACTCATGGCTAAATTAATCAAGCCACAAGGGATATATTTATTATTTTCTCAGTTCTGCACAGTCTTTCTTACATGCTAGGCAGACCCACTGCTGCTTTGATATTCATTAACCATGAAATTCTCTATCATAACTTACATTGTAGATAATAATAATAAAAAAGGCACTGGCAATTAAAAACGAGTCTGAAAATAACTTACTTGGCTATTTCAGCTATTATCGAAATTCTTCTTAAATCCTAAGTTTGCAATGGGTAAAATTCTTTCACACACACACATCCTCCTCTTCCTCTTAACTCCCAGAATTTTACTGGGGCATAATACCAATAAACCCGATTTATTTCCCAGGGACACATTACTTCCTATTTATTTAGTGCATCGAATGCAAAGCTCTTTGCCTTTATAATCTACAGCTATCCCCAAATTCCTCAACACCGGGGACCTCTTGCTGTCCCAGTCCTGTGGATAACTGGGACCTCCAAACAGGAATTTTCCAAGGTAGATTCCTACTACTTGACAGAGCACTTWGAAAGAGCCAATGCGTGAACATCAGGGCCTAGGTTTCCATGGAAGTGCACACTGTGCAATCATTTACACCTGCACAAAGGAAAAAACACTCTAAAAAGCTGATTTTGAGCTCAAGTGCCATCTTGCACCTCCCTTGCACGGTGTCCATGGTGGCACAGAGTGCAGGGCACCACAAGCAGGCCCAAGAGCTCCCTTTCAGCACATCCCAGACCTACCAAAACTCTTCCCAATTATACCCAGTCACATCATCTCATTAACTAAAGCGTTGCTCACGTGGACAAATCGATTTCTGCTCCCCTTTGCATCCCATTCTCCACACATTGGGTGCACGGTGTGTACGTTTTTGGCCTTACCTGCCAAAAAACGGTGGATGCCAAGGTCTGGTTGGGCAAGAGAAGACCCACGACCTGCAAGAGAAGAGAGGTTCTTACTAACTGTTGGCTGCTTCGTGCTGCTCTTGTGGGCACTCAAACAGCAAGTTCACTTCCACTGCCATAATTAAATTACCTTAATTTCTGGGTTTATATCATGGTGAGTGGCCATATATGCTATTTACAGATTGGTATGTTAAACTACAATCAATTATTAAATATGGGTATTTCTAGAATATAGCTCAAATGTTGCATTAATAAAAGAGTTGAAAATTGTTACTATTGGCAGTGAGGTTTTTTTCTTTTTTTTTTTTTCTGTGTATTTTAATTTGGCACATTCCCTGCTCCAAGACTAGGAGAGAAATCCGATTTGAACATCTGAAGACAGGAGTGCCACCTGGAAGCACATGTGCTCCTGTTTGGGAGCCTGAATTTTGTTTTAAGAGAAGGGGATTGTTGATGTGTCATATYCAGAGCTGCGAAGACTCCTGCTGGGGCTGGGAGCTCAGCAGGATGACGGGGATCAACCAGAAAGGCTTTTAAAGCAGCCCGTGCTGCACATCTGGCCAGAGGTGAGACACTCGGCTCCATGAGGTCACCCTTTGCAGCATGGGGACCACGTGCCACACGTTACCAAACGCAGTATAAACCTGCTCCCTAATCCTYAACGGCCCCCACGTCTTTTCCACCCGTGAGTATTCAACCTGCCCTTTCCTGCCTTGATTTGTGGCCGTGTTTCCTCTTAAAAAGCGGGAARCTGAAGAGGAAGAAAGAGATGCCAAGCACTGGGACCCCCATTGATGAACTCGAACACGTGTTTCCAGAGGAGAAGTTCCCAGCTAAGGACGGGTCAGAYGTGATGATTCTCACTCCTGTTGTTTTCTCCCCCTTAACTCCTGTCATTGCTGAGAGCTTCTGAGGAAGCTGCCCTTCATGTAACAAAACGACAGGCGTCTTTGTTGAGAATATAAAAAGAAAGGCCAAACAACGCCTTTTAACTAAAAATAGATGTCTTTTTGGGGGCACTCTGGAAAAAATGTGAATGGAAATTCTCTCTGTTGCCTGTCAGGGCAGAAAGGGAACGAGCCCCGGGTGTGGAGCAGCTGCTCTAGCTGGATTCCTGCAGCAGCGGAGGGCAAAGGAACCGGCCCCGCTCCAGCCGGGCCACCAAGAGCTCTTCGCACATCCGCAGCAGCAGAGGAGGCAACTTCTGCAYCCGCGGACTTAGCAGAGAAATCACAACAAACAAAAGGGTAAAGGGGCTGGGAGGCCTGATTTAATTCCCATCTTCTCCCCTTCCTCCTCCAGCTTTTCCTCCTACGGCCCTTCTCRAAGTTGCAGCGACTCGGTGCGCTGGCCGCGCGCCAGCCCGGGCGAGTTGCGCTAATTTACCGCTTGGATCTGGCCACTAATTACAGATCTGCTGGTCTGGGCCAAGGCAATTCAATAGGCGAAGCTCCTCCGGGCCCCGGCTTTGACTCCGAAGCCGCAGGGCTAATGAGGCTTGGGAGGAGAGGGAAGGCTGCCGGCAGCGACTACTTTGTCAGCTGAAGCTCCGCGCGGGGAAAAATACAAGGGGAAAATAAATAAATAAAAGCGCACCCAAAATCTGTATGACTGAAAGAGGCACGTTTAAATGCAAACTCTCCATATGTGCAAGAGTCTGTCAAGAAATGTACAGTTTCACTTTTAATTACTGTCAGGGGAAAAAATAACTAAGAAGGAAAACAAAATAAAAAAAGCTCCCAAACACCAGAAAAGTAGCGACTAGGGAATTTAATTGCCCATTAGGTGTGAATGGCCGTTTCAGGCCAAAAAGGCAGGGCTGAACACCCGAGGAGCTGTCAGCAATGAGGAGCTCGGGGTACATCCGTGCTAGGAGCTCCAGTCTCCTAGTCCCGACCCAGCCTCGTGTCTCGGAGGCGCTGGGTTACAGGCCAACCCGTGGGGCCTCTTGGAGCCTTCGGAAGTCCGAGCGAGGCCTCCTGAATTCCCGGAGGACCGAGGCTGGAAATTTGCTTTATTCTTTTGTCACTGGATGTGTTTGAGATGAAATCCCAAACCCCAGGCGGCTGCGGGGCCAGCGGGAGCTCCCGACTCCTGCGGCACAAACCCCGTAACGCGGCGGCTGCTTCTCCACCCGCCCTGAGAAGCCCTTCAGGAGGGCGAAGCTTCTCCTCCGTGGATAAAACCACCCGTGGAAGGGAGTTCACCTAAACGTGTAGATCATTTTTGTGCCTCAGACCCAGACGCGGGGCTGGGGCGCTGGAGGGAGCGACCCCGGGCCCTACGCACAGCACAGGACCACAGGGSTGTTGCTGGGGGCAAAAAAAGACACGGCCTCGTCAGCAGCACCTCAGCCTCCTACCCCAGGAGCTCAACTCCACAACCCCACTTTGCATTAGCCACAGGACAACTGGGCAGCCAATAATGGCATAATTTACTGTGTTTCGGGCAAAAACGCACRCAGGGTGTTTCAGGGGACCCGAGGAGCCGGGACATGGACCTGAGCCCAGCAAAGCCCCCCAGGGTGGTTGAGCCGGAGCAAAGCCAGGCACATTAAGCCTCTCTTGAGGAAATCCCATCCCCCTATGTTAAATGCAAGACTCAAACTGTTTTTATGCTAGAGCAGGCTGCCAATTTTGTCACTAAATTTCACAGATCGATTGGCATAAATGTTACATTTTAATTTTAACATTTGAAACGTTTGGTTTCTTTTTTTTTTTTTCTTTTTTTTTTTAAATGACAAGAGGTTCCAGTTTATCCTTTACAGCTAGTGAAATTGGGCTCATCTGACAGCTCTCGGCTCCTCTGACAGCTCTGGATTTGGGCCGATTTCATTGTCAATTTGATCGTTAACTCATTTTTGTTTAACCTTTTCTTTTTAAAAGGCCCCATACAAAGCTACCGTCAAAATGTTACATACAACAACAAATAGCAACAGCCGCGATGGTTTCTGCTTTTAGGCTTTAGCAACCCTGTTAGCCTCATTTTGGAAAGGACCGCTACCTTTAGGTAAGCCCTGTGCCCTGGCCTGTTGGGTTTAGAAAGATTAAAATTTAGCCRGTTTTGCTACATTAACTTTTCTAACAAACACAAACTAAAAATGTTTTCAGCAATAAATCTGTATAAAGCACTCGTGGTTTTAATTTAAAGCACTTGTGGTTTTAACTAATGAAAGAGAAAGCACATCAGGGGCCTCGGGATGCTCTCTAGACTTGTCACATTAGGGAAGCGACTCGTAAAATGGGCAAGACGGGGAGAAAAATAAGCCTCAACATTAATCCCAGAGTTGCAAAAGTTGCATTTTGCAGGAGCTCAGCTCGGGCTTCCCTTTGCAAAACGGAAATAAAAAGCTGGAAATGTTGTTTAAAAATAAAGAAAACAGCCGGAGCGCTTGTAGGTGCTCGGGTTGACAGGGGGAGTATTTTGAGCAGGCAAATAACCCTCAGCACAGCAGTGCGATCCACGGGGTGTATTTTGCACGGTGCAAGCCTGGCGAGTGTGTGCAGAGAAGATGCAAGCCCGGGGGGATCTGTGTCACCCCGGGGTGGTGACAGGGCAAGGGCGAGCGCTAGAACGGGCCCGCTCCCTACAAGGTGCCACGCGGCCGGCGGGGATGCTCGAGTACTTACAATGGGCGTTCCGAAGGGAATGTAACCTGGAAAAATGGGAAAATACAGGGGAAAAAGATGCATTTTAGTGCACACATTTTGGGGGTGAGAGAGATCCCAGCTGAGCAGCTAAGCGTGTTGCTGGGCTAGGGCACGAGGGGCAGGCCGGAACGGCCCCCCGGGCTCTGCCAAACGTCCTTGTCACCCTCTTTTTTGGCTTGTGCACCAGGAGGTGCCCCCCAGACCCCCCAGCCGCCGCGAGGACTTGACTGACCCAATGGCTCCCTGCCACCGGAGGGGGATCCTGCCCCCCTTCCTGCTCGTACAATCTGTTCCCTCCCCGGTGCCAGCTCTGCTGCTCAGCAGACCCTCCCAGCAGCTCCCTGGGAGAAAACGGCCCTGCTTCCTCTGCCCCTCTTCTTGCTGGACCCCGTTTCCAACAGGGAAGCGCTCGGGAACTGGTCCGGGAAGCTGCAGAGTCCGTGTTCAGGAGCAGGAGGATGTCCCCACATCCATGGGGACCTCCTGGTGCCCTCGCTCCATCAGCAGCTCCAAGAACGGCTTTATGGTTATAAATATCTGTATCTATATAAACGGTAACCTATTTATTTCTGGGTGAGCACAAAAAGCAACAGGGCACACACCCTTTGGAGAAATTACATTTGTGTCCAGGCAAAATAGAGGAGAGAGAGGGCCTCCTTTAATACTACTGGCAGAAATCAGGAAAGCTTGCTGCAATCATGAGCCTTTAGCTCAAATCTTAATGAGTGCCACAAAAATAAATAAATAGATTCAAATGCTTCACATTTCCACCCCCCATGAAGGCTGCCAATTCTTATGCTCCTTATAAATCATTTTCACGACTTCCACTAGACGTCTCAGAGCATTTTACCCCCACTCCTGAATTAAGCCTTATGGCACCAATTGAGTCAGAAAGGGCAAAGACCTTACAGGAAGAAAGGGTTTTCAAAAGCTAAAAACAAGGCAGCCRAGGAGAGGGCCCTGGATTTTCTCTTCTGCACCTTGCCCTTAAAATAACCTGGAGAATGGAGCCCATCAACCCCGCTACTTTTCCCATGTGGCTCCRTCACGTGAAGATGAGACATGCAGGAAAGGTGCTGCTAAGAGGAGGAAAGCTGACGGGTTTAATTCTCTCCGCCTTATTTAAGGCAGTCTCCAGAGGGGAAGGAGCATGGCCAAGGCCAGCCTGTGGTCACCAAGGTTCCTCACTGCTGTGGCTGCCACGTGCCACCGCGCACCAAGAAATGGGGCTCATCCCCTTGCCTGGACTGCAAGGCACCAAGGTGCTTGYTGGGCACCCAGTGTCTTCCTTTACAAAGTCAAAGTGACCACCCCAGGGATGGAGATGCTGGCAGGGCCATCAGCTTGGATCCACTTCAAAATATCCGAGGGAGAGGAAAACACTAAGAACTGACACCTCACAGGTGCTTAGGGTGCAATTTCTCCTCGATTTTTGTTTGGTGTTTGAATTGGTTGGTGATCTTAGCCTCAAAGGAGCGCAAAAGCAGGAGGGGTGAAAAAGGCAGCGTTCCCTACAGCTGTGCAGCCCGTTGGGCGCCTTCCYGACGCGGCTCCGCCGTACCTGACATCCGGAAGGGCATGAAGATGGTCTCGTTTGTGTCGGGGTGGATGATGGCCTGCAAAAGAGTCAAAAAATAGAGGCAAAGAGCCCTGGAGTGAAGGCACTGCGACGGGGGGCGAGCCGTAAGGACGCAGCGGGCCGCACGCCTCGTGAGGGAGAGGAGAGGCCTTCGGCGCGCACCCCAGCCAGCTATTGTTCAGCAGGCTCCACAAAAGCTGCTCCGGCTTCTGGTTCTCCTGTCTCTTTTAAGGATGCCTGACATAATTTAGCACGAGCGCCTAACAACATGAAGTGTGGAAGCGTCTCTTGCTTGGCAGCACGACATCCCTCAAGGCCACCCACTGCTGTGCCTGCGCCCAGGCAGGGAAAATGCAGCTCGAGGAGGGGGGAAAACAGGGAATCTGGGGCAGGATTGGCTCCTCTGGTGGGGATGAGAGTTCAAACCCTCAAACCACTTCAGTTCAAACCACTCRGGCCACCAGGGTCCCCTCATGCTGGGTCTGCACCACGTGCAGGCCCAAGGAAGGCCCAAGGAAGGAGGACCCAAGGCCACCACGAGGCCTAAGCTGKGGTTGCACAGTCCTAAGATTCCCAAAGTCCTAAGGTCCTAAGATTCCCAAAACATTATTTAACATTCCCAGTGGGAAAACGGGTTCTTCTTCCCAGAAAATCCACGCCATAYCTTCTTGGAAGACAGGCTATTTAATTTTAATAAAAACGATTCTAGGGTTCTAGCATCACTTCCACTAATTCTATCACCGAATCTTTCTCTGAGCACAGTAAATATGTATTGACAATGCACCACAACCACAGGGGGAACATTTCCCCCATCTGCAGACGTTTGCAGATACGGGTCTACGTGCGAATTTGGCATAACCTGGCAGGCCAGGGGGAAAAATGGATCCCTGTGTGATCTGGAAGCACTGAGGAGCGAAGTGTCTCCTTCAGAAATTATCAAACCATCTTTAAAAGACTGGAGCCCAGAAATATCTTGACTAGATAAGAAGGAGAAAAATGAAGAGMTGGAAATATGTTAATGCAAAAAGAAAAATCAGAATTGTGGCTTGAAATAGTGTTCTTTGCATATGTATGACCTGTGGCAAGACACAGCAGCAACGGACAAAACCAGGAATGCAGAAGGGGACAGCACTTTTCCCTCATTTAGCAARAAGGGGGGAAAAATGCCACATTTGAAAACAGCAGTGAAATGGGGAGAAGCATATAAACCGCTATTTATATATAGAAAAAAAAAGAGGTACGTTACCTGTTTTATTTTTTGAGCTCCCCACAGCTAGAAAAAGAAGAGAGAACGTTACACTTGGGCAAGAGCAGCAGAGCTTTCACAGTCCCAAGTTTCACTCAAAACCCCAAATATTCGCCTTGGAGCTGCCATAGGAAATGAAGGGCAGGAGCAGCTTTAAAGCAGGAGCCTTTTGAACATCCTCCCGGGACCTGTGGCTGCTGTTTAAGGCTCCTCCTGTCACTTCAAGCTCTGTCAAATCCAGGTGCCCAGCAGGACTATCACGAGAGAAGATCCTCTTTCTTATTTTGAATGATCAGAAAGAACAGAAAGAACAGTATAATAAATAAATTAACAAATAAAAATTAATCTAGGTTACACTTTTATCTTCTTAAAGCTGCTGCGCATCGATCTTGCCACAGATTTAGTGCAACTTTTCCTTGAACAAGATCCCAGCATTCCTGCGGAAATCCAAGCTTGCTGGGGAGCAAAGGTGGAGCAAACCCTGCAGCAGCACATAAGCGAACATCTCCTCAAATAAAAACTGCAAAATAGATTCAGCATGGGCAGCCTCTGCTATTTTTCATTTTTTTCAGAGGGAGGGAAAAATCTCACTGAAAAAATACTCAAAAAGCAGAAAAGAATGAATTTAAAGCTCTCACAAACGCATACTTTTATTTACTAATCGTTGCAATCTAGCAGCACCAAAACATCCCAAGCCAGGCACAGAGAGCAGAGATCTGCAAATGAGGGGAAAATCCATGTCACAAGCAGAGGATCTTATAAATTGTGTGTAGATCAAGGCAATGAGCACCACGAGACACTGCAATACAGTGCCCAACCTCTGACTCATCTGCTAGATGACGAGGCCAGAGGACCTTTCTTCTCGAATGATGCTTACGTGCAAATGACAGCTTGGAAAAAAAATCTTTTTATATATATATATAAAAAGATTTTTTTTAAATTATATATATATATTTATATATATATATAAAGGTTATATATATATAAAGAATTTTTTAATATATATATTTCTAGAGACAACAAAAAAAAAAATAAAAACCCTACGATTACAGTAAGATGTCACACAGTGAAACTGTCTTTATAACTAAAAAATCTTTTCCACCTTTCCAGCTAAGGGTTGTCTCCAACTCCTGTTACACCCGTCCGTGCAGCAGCTTTCCGAGCTGCCCAAGTCTGCTCCTCACGCAGGTGTCTAAGTCACCCTTTACCCTTTGCTCAAAAAAATGAGAAAAAAGGGGGAAAAAAGCCCCACATAGACACCAGAAAAATTAAATGGAGCCAAAAGACGGGCTGCTTCACTGGCAGTGCGCGCTTGCCAATCTTTTAACCACCCTTGTGGCTCTTTTACGTCTTTCCAATTTGTCAACATCCTCTTGCAGCGTGGATGCCAGAAGCAGGCAAATTATTCCAGCAACAGCCGCCGCGGTGCCAAATGGAGCCTAGGATAACCTGATGATTTGCACTCGGCTGTTTATCAATCCAAAGACAGYGATAGCTCTTTTTGCTTTGAGAAGAGCTCCTGTTTCTGGGATTAGCCCCCGGAATACCCACCTAAGCGCTGTGTGCTTGCTCGGCCATCCAGGCATCCAGGGGTTAGGTTTTCTTTGGGGTTTCGCTGTTATTAAGGCTTGAATGAAACAAAGTTCTGCCATTCTTCATGGCCCGAGATCCAAGGCTTCCCCCAGACAAACACAAATCCGTGAAAACGCTGCTGCAAGGAGGCAATTACTCTTTTATAAACAACAAGGCAACCTACTGATTAGGAGGTCAACCCAAGCTCTAGCTGCTAAGCCCAAAATCCAAAGGGCAGGAGACAGGGAGCCGGGACAGCTCACGGGGCTCTCCTGCCTTTGGCCAGGCTATCGTGTCCACATGGCGACTCGGGACATCCATGGGACAAAGATGGCATAGATGAGGGACACGGGGTCCCAGCAATCCCACCTTAGGAGCGAAACCGCAACGTGGGACCATCCTGCCTCTCCCACGGCAAGCGCAAACGCCTTGGGAAGGAAGAAGGATGCTTCCCGAGCCAGCTCCGCGGCTGTTTTGGTCAAGATATCTAATTTCATTAATTGATCCCAATATTTATGCATTTTCCCGCTGCAKTGCAAATATTGTTGGAACATGAGATTTCATTACTTCTCCGAAGGAGACTTTACAAGATGCACCTGATGAGTCACCTACGGATTCTGCCAGCTCATTTTCACTTTTTCTTTTAATTTTTTTTTTTTTTATATCCTCTAATTCATTTTCTGTCTGCAGCCTTTTTCAATAGCTCCAGTGCTCTGAGCAGCCTCGCCAGTTGGGGGGCTCATTTCTGAGAGCACGTCTCTATTTTAGTTAGGGATTTCATTCACACCCTCTCTGGCCATCGTGGCGAAGCAGCCCGATTTTGATCTCATTTATACAAGCGTGAATCCAAAGCATCCTCCCCGGAGCATGTGGAACCACTCCAGATTCGGGCGGAATGTGTGTTAGGATTCGGTCCACRGTCTCTAAATATAGGCCGGCTAGAGGAGGTGGGTCTCCTCCACCAGATCATCCTCCTTCCCAGCAGCTCCGCCGTATTTCCAGGACACAGAAGTGGAGAGGGGGCAGGCAGCTGCTTGCAGCCTCGCCAAGCACTTTGCCACCCCTCCGATCCGTGTGCAAGGAACAAACAAGGATTTGCACCAAAGAAACAACGCGGACAAGGGGAAGGAGCCCAMAGCTACATGGGCCCACATGTTGGTCCATAGCTAACACATTTCCATTCTGCAAAGCTACCTCAACAGGCTCGGGCAGGCAGGTGCTCAGCTGCTCATCTTTCCCAGGCTGCTATTTTTCTGTAATTCTACAAGGAAGAGATTTTCACCCACTTTGCTCACAACCTGGGGCAGGTGGCCTTGGAAAAGCTCAGCTCAGGAACCGTACTCAGTTATGAAGAAATTCTATGAGTTTAGAAGTTTAAGGAGACCCAAGGCAGCACTAAGGAGATAAAGAATAACTTCTGGGGAATACCTAAGATTTTTGGTTGGCAGGACCCTTTTAGCTTCCCTTGCTGAGCAGTACACTGGCAGAGCCAACGGAGACACCGAGATGTGGGTCAGGAATGGGCAGCAGATGCTCCAATCGCCTCTTCCTTCAAGGAGGCTCCTTGGATGCTCCTGTGCACTCCACCAAGCAGCCATGCAAACAGGCTGCCTTAAACCCTGCAGTGCGCGTCCTAAATACGCCACGTCAGGACTAAGGCTGCCTGCAGAAGAGCCCTCGCTGAGCGGCTGCACGTTAAAAATTCATAGGGACGAGGCAGAGTTGTTGGCAAAGAGCTACTGAGGAGCAACGGGTTAGGCCAGACCTAAGCAAGCCACGCTGTATATGCAAAGACARGGTGCCCGACCTCTATTCAGCGTTGCAAAATGCCCCTAGTGAAGACAAGGCGGATGAGGAAATCTGCACAAGGGGGAAGAGCTGCAGTTACCTGATTGCATCCGAGCTGCCGTTACCTGATTCCATCCCTGTTTCCCTCCCCTTGCACGTGGTCCCGCGCGCACCCGCAGCGCTCCCGCTTCCCGAGGCAGCTCCCTGCAGTTTGCACCCACTGGAAACCCCAGCGGTTTCACACTCTGGGAGCTGCAAGGTTGATCAGAGCAGAGCTCCGATTATCAGCCCCATGCTGGACTCCAAATATTTCGGAGTGGGGCCAGGAGCGTGTGATACAGCAAAGCTCATTCTCTCATACAACAGTGACCATACATCTCATTATGATGTGGTCACTCAGGGGACAGCCTCCAAAGCCAGGGCTTCCTGCACCAGTCCTCATTGTTCACAGCAAACAGAACGGTGTAACAGAAAGGTTATGTAAAAACATAACTCACTGTGCCAGAAAATCTGTCTCACCCTGACCAGCTGACGGGTCCAGGCTGGATGACTTGCACTCATTTCACTCCATCTTCTTTCARAGGTTAGTTCTGGCTCAAAACGTGCATGGTCCAAGATACAAAACACCCCGAGGTATCAAAMACAGCTAATTGGTGGGTATGGCCTGTTCGGCATCTTTTGGATCCCAATCGGAATTTGAGGAAAGGAGAAGCTTCCTGAGGCTGCAATATTGAGGCTTGTGCCTGTTTTTCCTCCCAAGCAGGTCTCACCTGTTGCTTTCCTCTCCTGGCAGCTCCAGCCCCACCAGGGCCACCACGTGAAGCAGGAGCACCCAGCAGCAGGTTCCCTACAGAGTCAGCAGGAACAGCTCAGGTTTCTCTCTCCTGTAAGGCTGAACATCCTGGAAAAGCTCCAGCACTTACTCACCATGAAGGCCAGCAGGTGACAGGAGAGGAAATAAACCCACAAGGATTTTCAGTCCTTCAGGAAACCTGAAAACCAGTGGCAGGCACGAGGCGGGGCGGCGGAGCTGCSGCTGAATCCGCTCTGCTCCGCAGCCCTTCCCGAAGGAGCGTGATCACTCGTGCGGCGCCTGCCTCTCTCCCACTTCCTCCTGCCTGCTCCAGCTCGAGTCCCCAAACCCACAGTTCCCACTTCTTGCAAAGTGATATTTAACGCCGAGGCGAACGCGTGCTCAGAGCTCCAGCCGGCTGTGGTTAAAGGCTTCCAGAAAGGCTTGCAGTGGTGCAACTGCCTGCTTTTGGGCTCTGCATTAAACACGGCCTAAGTGCCTATAAATCTGGATGAGGTGCCAGATTTACCCCCCAGCAGTTGATTTACACAAATCTGGTGTCTGGCTTTGCTATGAACATGAAAAACAAGGTAACCGAACTCCCAGGCTGCACTTGCTCCTCACTTGGAGATCTTGCCTCTTGGACACCTTCCAATCGTGCTCCCAGCAAACTTCACGTTAGAGAGGGGTTAGCTCCAAGGAGATGAAGCTCAAGCCACGTGGGAACGGGCAAGAAGCACCAGCCAAGGCATGAGAATCGTACGGATCCAGTGTGTGTGGTGCCCGTCTGTGCCGCTCCACTGCCTCGTCATCCCAGCGGCTGGAATTGGGCTGGGAAGCAGGAGCAATTGCGCTCGAGCGCACAGATCCACAC